GAAAGCAAAAATAATTAATGATAAAAAAACATAAAATATACAATTCATCAGACAGCCCAAGAAGCAGTGATAAATTGTAGCATTGGCGTAGCGTGGGCTCAGCCAAGGGGCGCTGGTATCAAGGGCGAGGGGGGGGGGGGGGGGGGGGGGGGGTCGAGGAGGATCAAGGAGGGGGTGTTTGATTCAGTGAGTGGCAAGCATATAACTGTAAAGAAAATATATACAAAAATAAGGCAGACGGGAAGAGGAGGATGTGAGAGAGTGTATGAATGTCTTCGTTCAAGTTGCATTCCCTTTTGTTCTCACTTTCCCGACCCCCCCCCCCCCCCTTTTTGGCCATTTGCAGAGGATCCTTTTACTGCAATCATCGTGGTCCTTCTACTTATTCACAATTTTCAACAACAAAAATGCTGCGTTGAAATATTTTTCTTATTCTCTTTATTCATATTTCTCCCTGCTTCTTGCTAATATTTTCAGGGAACTACGAATTCCTGTTCATGAGTATGCTGGAATCTGTTTGATGTAATTCAACATTTTGTAAACGTTGATTCGGACGAAACAGGACCAAAAAAAAAATCACTATAGACTTTTATGCTTAAATCACCATGGAAATGGGGAACACCTAAGGTTAACATCGTAAAGTGATTTCCACCCGAGGGTTTGGCAAATCAAAAGTTAATCTGTCCATGATTCTTGTCTGATATCACCCTCTAAACTTGGAAACAAAGAGCAAACGTCATAACATATGACGTTTATTCCGGCGGGCCCTATTATCTAGAAGAAAAAAAAAACGATCCTTAAAGAATGCTGAGAAGTTCAAGTTTGTACTAGTACCGCGTTTCATAAAATGCCTGCAACTTCAGCGATAGTCGTAAATCATATTCAATGTAAATCATTGCATATTTTGTGTTATCTATTCTTTCTTCATCTTATCATCTACCTGTCTCGACTAATACAATCAGTCGATAAATTGTAAAATTGATACGCTTTCAGTGATGTTCTATAATAACATATGTATAGATCGTACAATTCGTGTTAGGTCTACTGTATATTGCCGTTATTTTATAGTGTATACTTTGTTTGAATTTCGCGTTTTTTTCTTTTCAGAAGATTAGTTTCCATAGAGTTTGGCTCGAAACAATCGCACTAACCTCAAACCAATAGCTAAGCCTGTAAGCGGCCAAAATGATAATATGATTTATAGTATTGGGGATGCTTACCAAGAAAACCTCATAATAGTGATCATCCAGGATTTGTATTATCAGTATATGATGATGCCAAAATCGGGAAAAATTGGCAAAGGGCTTGGGTTTGTTCACATGTATACAATAATGCATGCGAGAGTTTACCATAACACAGTCCTCATGCTTTTGTCGCTTACAAAGTGCACTTAATAACGTTTGCCTATTTTGATAGGTTTTTCATATTTCTTTGCGGATACATTTTATTTGTCTTTTATTATCGAGGCATATAATTCAACATCAAGGGAAGCGAGTGAATTGGCATGCCACCATTTAAACCCAATAAGGTGTATATGAATAAAATAAGATAATAATAAAATTATATCAAAGCAGAACCCGCGCTTCCAAGCTACAGTCTCCTTCTTGAATGCATTCGTATGGAAATTAAATTTTGATTGCGAAGATGAGATGACAGACGGTTCTTGGCCATGACTTCTAGAAGGGAAATGTGAGCTGATAATGTGATATGTCTGGCCTGATCTATAGCATGGATTATCACTCTGTGAATCCAGACCATGGCTTCCTTTTGAGATACACGATGTGTCGCCTATTATATAGACAATCGAGGGTAATGTTTATATTAGACCAGTATTATACTTCGTTTTCAAAACGATGGACTTAAAGTTTAACATGTGTCAACTTGGTCCACTGAATTATGGAGCGCCAAGTATCAAATGTTTATTAAAATGATTTATAATATTCGGGATATATGAAGCGCCAATTATCAACCTCTTCATCCCTTGTAAATACCAAAGCTCTGTAACTAATATGAACGTATACATCATGTCATTTGAGTGTAATTTCTCCTTTCAATTTCATGACTGGGTTCTTATATCGTTTATACGTTTTAGAAATGATTGGCAGTGATTAATAGTGGAGAGGATACCACTTGGCTCTTTATAAATCAATTGACTGATTTAATCAAGGCTTAACTTATTCTATCCTTTATGAATATTAGCCAATATTTCTAAATCAGGATATGTTCACATCCGTTTTTAAAGCGCTGTTTGAAGAAAAAATGGAAATCGGAAACTTAGAATAATTGATTCATAGTTACCTTGTTCATAGATCAAAATAAATCGTAGGTGACGAAACAATCAAAAAGTACATTAGACGAGTACAGACTCATAACAAGAGGAAAAAGTATAATTACATAAGGAATAAGAAGAACTGAGTATGACAAAGACCGAGAAATTAAATGATGTACTACCAATTATTTTGTTTAGTTGATTTTCGCAAGATTACATTCAATCGGTTTTTATCTTTCAGTTTATTTACTTGATTTCTCTCTTTGCTAATATACATTTCGAGGTCCTTTTCGTTATGAATAATATCTAAACGTTTGTGATGCTTCGTGATGAACGTAAAGCATTGTGTTTGCACGTAGCTTATTCTACTGCATCTATACAAGCTTGTAGATCATCATCATCTACTGCTTTTTGGCATGCGTGATCTCAGTTCTTAGAAAGAGTCTCCAATTGACATCGCTTTATACGAACACTCAACACAAGCGGGTGTGAAGAGAAGTGCCAATTAATAAAGATAAAGGTTACAGTATCCATCATTCATGAACAACTATCTGAGCGTCGTCATGGCAACCGTAATATCATGCTTAAGTCTCAGAAGAGAAGCATTACCGAGAGCGGATTCGCTCGAGTGTAATCCGGTAATCATTACCGGAAGTTCAACCCCTGTACTGATTCTGCATGTAAGCAGCGGTACAGCAGCTGTGTAATGGTTGACAGATGTGATATTATGCGGGTTCTGGGTTATATTTATCGGTTATTGCCAAAATAAAAAATCTGGGAAAGTATGTTGAAAGGACTAATATTTCTATAAATCATCCTGACATGATAATAAATACAATAAATGAATCAAAATTTGGATATACAGTTTTTATCATCTTTGTTCTATAATTTATTGGCCTGAATATTATCTTCGACAGAAAACGTTGCAGTGGCCGTGATGGCGTATCCACAAATTGACGAAGAGGGGCGGAATCAGCTTCTAAAAGGGGGGGGGGGTGGGATTTGTACCAGGCCTATAGTACCCCATCCGATATACATGTAGATGTATATTGTGATCATTATTGGTCTACCTTTTGATGGGGGGGGGGGGGGAGGGGCTTCGAACAATGGGCATACATCGGCTCCATGCTCCAGGGTGGATATGCCATTGTGCACTTTACTTGTGAGCCTACATTTTCCTAGAAAGTAAAGTTGCTACTTTGTATTATTCCAAAGACTTGGGATAGTGAAAAGAATAGCAGCAGCACACGCAATCATTTTCAAGAGCCTCCGTGCTTTACCAAGAACCATGCACAGATGCAACGCCAGCCCATTCAACCAATGATACTATCAAACTAGGAACTTTCGCTCGTTGACATGATTGATAAGGACCGCTTTTTACATGAATCGCAAAAACATTAATGTTGTTTATGTAATCATGTTAAGATTGATTATTTTCGCGGCATGAAACTATCGCGAATGTCCACTCGCGACATTCGCGGGGTTTCATACATGTGAAAGTTTTGGTTGTGCCGTGATCTCTTTTTCCTCGAAGAGATCAATCAATCAATTATCACTTGATTAATATATTTTCATTCACGTATCTAACATATATCTCTTTCAACATGAACATATAGATCAGGCGCAATTTTTAATTTTTAATTTGGTGGCCAATACGTTCAATATACTTACTGCATAAATTCTTATCACAGGTTCCTTTTCCAGATTCGCACTGTGTACAACTTTCACCAGCAGCATAAGGTTTGGCACCAATGTAGTTGCCCCTGCATGAAGAAAAATGTATTGATTACAATCAATGAAGAAAATGTTTTAAAAATTTAAAAATAAATAAATAAAAAAAATAATTTAAAAAATTTAAAAAAAAAAAAAAAAAAAAAAAAAAAAAAAATCGCAATTTGAAAAGGAATGTAATGACTTTTAACAGTCGACACAATTGAGTATGACCAATTTCACGTAACACCTTAGTAAAGCCATGGGGCATATCTTTTGGGCAAAATTGAATTGTATCTACTTTATATACTGGGAATCTGAGGATTCTTTCTCCTTTGACAAAACTGGTTACAACCTGGCTTGCAGGTAATTGGTTTAATTGTGAAATGTTACTTTAAAACACTAAATCATATCAGTCTATTGAATATTTCGAGTAATAAACTTTCTCAAAATTGGCAACGTTTAGCGGAGAATCAAACAGTATTTTAGCCTACAATTAGGTGCAGTACCTGAATACAAAAATTATCGAAAGGAAACATTACCAATTATTTGATAAGCGATGTCATGGTCAGATGAACTATTCCACCATATGATAAGGAAGTTTCAAAAATAAATTTCAGAGGGAAATATATATATTTGAGGCCTTTCGAGACATTATATCCAGTTGTGGCTGAATCGGCGGGGCACCATCGGCACGTTCTCCTTCTCCCCCTCCTTCTCACCCACCTTCTCACCCACAAAGGGGAACACCAACATGACACAAAAATGATGCCTTTTTCATTTTCAGTTTTTATTTTATCATCTTTTTTGCTTGTCCCTGAAGTTTTGTGCCCCTCGCCAGAAAACCCTGGACTCACCACTGATACATGTAGCATGCAAAATGATTAAGAATATGAAGATAAAGTACTTACGGTGGGTAGTAATTACATGTAATGAACCAGCCACGGGCATCGCTCGCCCCCGTCACTCTCGGACAGTAGTGCCTTCCGCAACCCACCTTTGTCGATGACGCCCACATTAACTGTTTGATGAAAGACAAATTAAAGATATAACTCAATTTTTGTTTAAAGTTCATGTGATTATTTGGGGCGTTTGTTTGAGTCAGAGAGTTGAAAATGAAAAAGGGAGATGGGTGTTAAGGATTCAGGAGGGATGCGGAAATACATGTTCAAGGGTATGACGAGAACTTGGTCCTGCCATGGTTATGATACTGGCACCTGGGGGCTCGAAAGGGGGGGGGGGGTGGGTGGGGGTTGATGGACAATTATTATCAATACAGTCTTGCCAAAGGACAATATTGTCATGGTAGGGATGTCCTTTTTCTTTCCTTCTTTGACAGAATTCTTAAGATTTTGCCTAGAACTGCTTCTTATCTTACTATTGCTACGTCGGGTCCATCATCATGCTCATTACGAAAGAATTTAAAGGACTTCATTTTCCTAAACATGTTGTAATTCAACATATTAAAGCGGGACTGCACTACTTGTAGCTACTTGCGCCCTTTATATAGCAAACAATGCCTAAGCGTTACCCGTTAATCCCCCATGGCTCCCTTTTTCTTATGTTAATTGAAAGCTGATTTGATTAGATAACCACCTGTCAGTGACCACGCAGGGAGGTCTAATCCCTCCTGGCCAAACTAGTGAGGTTCATAACTTTCAAAGAAACCCCAACCTCCGACTGATGCTGCTATTTCACTCGGCTTCTTGGCATTTGGAACGGTTGGCCGAGCCTTTTACAAAATTAATGTTGAGGTATATAGGGTTTGGCCGTGTATTTATATACATATATAAATTGATTCTTCCTTTCTTGAGAATTTAACGCTTGGACAAGGCAGACGTTCTTTCACGAGGTATTAAAGTCACAGCATTTTGCCAAACTGTAGCCTTTACCGAGGCCCGATTATAACCTGTAAACCTGTTTTTTTTTAAAACGCCTCGTTAAAACTCAGCCTCTAAACATTTAACCAAACTTAATTCACTATCAAGCTGATTAAGTTAACAGTTATACCAACAAGGCCATTTCAATGTACAATTATCTCGTTAAAGAATCCTTAAACAACTAGGAAATCTTTAAAACGGCATTAAGTTAACTTTAATTCAACATAATTGATGTACGTTACAAATACAAGGTGACCTGTAATTGGAGTATTTTGTGGAGAACATGAGAACTGTTGCCAATTTACCTATCAATTTAAAAGTTGAAGTGAGTCATATCATCTTGGGATCAATTCAATGATACATTGAAGGTCGTAAGGAACATCACGGTGAGATATAAACATGATTAAAGACACCCTTTTTTAACAAATTTGTTTTCTTCTTCAATGGATGCACAGAGGATGGTGATTTCACAAATACGTTTCAAAACTAATAAACAAGATCAAAAACGAAAAGTTTGGCAAATCGGACGCAATCCAAATCAAAATTGGAGTTTGTACGTCTTATATCATTTGAGAGTGAAAAGACTGAACTGTCATTACTTCTCATTGTGGATTGGTACTAATATGCATGCCCATCCAGTGAAAACATTTGAAAAGTTTATGAAGTGTGACGTCATGCTTTTTGCAGATGTTATTGGACTGCAGTCATGGTTGGAGTGTGACGCATGTTTTTCAAATTAATTTTTGTCTTCTCATATTGTTCGATCCCAAAGGGCCATGGTTTGTTATGATTTATCAATAACTGTCACAATCATAAGTATCAAGCATAAGTCTAATCGAAATCACAAATATTTTGATGATGATGACGATGATGATTCGCAGCATTTGTATGGCGCCATATTATCTGTTTTGAAAAACATCAAGAGGCATATTTTGATTATATGGAGCGATGAATGTTTAAATCACGCTCCATGAACCATATCTGAAGATATGTTTATATGTAACCTGTCTCATATTAATTGTAAAATGATTCAATTAAAAAATAAAAAATCAAATAGCTAAGCAGAATGTTTACAAGTTTGTACGCTGATAATCATGCATATTGATCAGAGCTAGATATTTTGCCTCTGCAAAAATAATTTCTATTCCTGATGACCATACTCATTCATTAGGCTTTAGCTTTTATAAATAAGCTGGTGATATACTTTTATTTTCATCAGAAGGGCAAGGACGATATCATATCAACCTAGTTATGACAAAATTTACCCCAAAATAAAACATCACTGATTAACTCTTGAAACACGTGTGAGAGGGAAAGGTGAGGGGGTATTTGCGGTTTGTATTATAGCTGGAATCATGTTAAAAGTCATCACCTTTTTTTTCAGGCTTTTGTAAGATAAAAACAGTTGTGTCACACCATTACAAGACCGACACCTGCTCCTGCCTGCCAAGTAGCGCAAAGGTGTGTGTGTGTGTGTGGGTGGGAGGGGGAGGGGGAGAGGGGGAGGGGGAGAGGGGGGAGGGGAGAGGGGGGGGGGTGGGAAGGGGTACTTTCAGAGTTCACCTATTTCCCTGAATGACTGTTTCCCCAACAGGGTTCCGATGACAAAACGATGCCCCCTCGTTCTAAATCAAATTAATTGAAAGTGTCCAGGTCACCATAATTAGGTATGACCTTACCCATTACGCTTGGCACAATTCTGACCGTTTTTTGTATAATAGTTTACCTCGATATGCGTCATGCTATATAACAGTGAGTAGTGCATAAAAGGGGGCCGGGTATAGTAAAGCAGTTGCTGATATCCGTTTTGACACGCGGCGACTCGTGCCAAAATCAATATTTACAGTTCTCGTTTATTAACCCTCTCTTTACCAAAAATTAAAAATATATGTAAGAGTATTCTGTTCAAAGGTCATTACTGACTAGAGGAAAGGATTTGTTTTATTTTCCTGTTTGGGGTTCCGCTCATTTACAATTTGGCTAATGAGGGACAATTTTAAAGATAATGATGTAGTTTTACCAAGAATAATTTAGGAATAGGAAGGTGATGATTGGTTAGGTAGGAGTTCCCAGTATTTCCTTTAGCGTGGGTTCCTAATTTTCACTGCTCTTTCCCTAATTTACCCGTGATTTGTATAATCTGTTTAAAAAACAAAACCTGGTCATCAAAAGAAGCATTTCACACACACTAAAAGCTACCATAACCAGTAATCAGTGGACAATCTGTTTGGACACGAGACATAAGGTCTGACAAGTACAGTCAACTTTCTTTTGGGGGACAGTAATATGAGTGATTTTTCTAAACTTTCCCTGACATTTCTCTGACTGAAAAAAAGAAACAACATTTCCAGGTTTGTCCTGATTTCCCGAATGTTTCAGGTTTCAATTATTACGATAAAACGGTGATGATTGACTTTCATACATTTTGATCATGTTCTTGTCAAAAAACTTAAACAAATCTTACAGGTAAGCATTCATATCATACACGGAAAAATATGAATTTACAGGATTAGAAATCTACTTGGAGGGGGCGGGGGGGTAGGGGAGGGGTCAGAACACTGTGCGCTTAGAAACATCAGTATTAAGCGCCTAATAAATGTTATGTATTATTATTATTTAGATAAGAAAATCAATTCGCTGGGTGGAATTCACGCTCAATAATTATAATATACTTTCAAAAGTGTAATTCAACCGATATCTTGAAGTCAACTTTGTTAATATCAGTTGATTCAACTCCAAATTAATGGAGTGATCTTTCGGAACTGTAAAAATAAAAAATTATAAAATATTATTAAAAAAAAAAAGTTTCTTAAAAGCTAATTTTTGGTAAGAAAAAGTGGATATCTACTCCTCTGTGAAAAAAGAGTTTTGGCGTCTGAAGCCGATAGCCATCTAGACTTGTACTACTTCCTACAGCGTTCACGTTCATCACCAATTATTGACATGATTCGGATATGCAGTATATAACTAGGAAAGTCAAGTCTGATTCATATCTAGCGAGGGGGTACGCATTTTATATCACAGCTAATTTTGTCTTGGTCAAGGGCGCAGATTATGAGCAGGCCTTACAGACGGTACTGAAGACTTGAATTTAATCTGTATTAATCTCAATCTTAATCTTAAGCCAACGCGTCCAACAAGCCCACAGTTAGGAGTGAAGTTATACAGGCTGTTTATATCGAGAGTATGGATGTGCTGGTCTAACGGTACGGTCAGCTCTTGTCTTTTGGGACCTAAAAACCGACTCCGTCCATACACTCCGGTTCGAAACCGAGTCGCGTCTTTCGGATTGTGACATCTAAGGTCGGTTCCAAGGAGAGAATATGAACAATTGATTAATATACATCTGTAAAAACTTAAATAAGAATACCACCGAAAACCTGCACTCACTTACACATGTGATTGACTTTAACTCAAGATCTATTTCGCGAGGCCAACTATCAAAACTGCAACCGGAATCGAACGTTTTGTTGCGATAAGAACGCTGGTTTCAGAATTTTGACAATAATAGCAACTGACATTTGAAAGCGTGTGCCCGTTTCCATGGGGATTTGATAGCCTAGAGCGACGGAAACTTTGAAATGTAACATAGAAGAGATAAACTAGTTAACGGTGCTTATTTTTAAACAAAGTAAAACTGTTTGAGAATACCTTTCTCTTTAGAGGTACTACAGGAAAGAAAACAAATCCATAAGTACTTTATATTGTTCCTACAATACAATTTTACGTGGAGGACACTGTTTTGCTACATCATACAGTGTAGCTCTTTGGTTGCCAAAGCTATAACATGAATAAAATACGACAATGATATAGGCTCACATTATTTTGCCGACGATGTGTCGATAAAACGTCTATCTCTCTCTTTCTCTTTCTTTCTCTCTCCCTCTCTCTCTCTCTTTCTTTCCCTCTCTCTCTCTCTCTACAGTATATCTCCCCCTCTCTCCCCCCCCTCTCTCTCTCTCTCTCTCTCTCTCTCTCTCTCTCTCTCTCTCTCTCTCTATTCTTTGCGGCATCAATTAAATGAATGTAAATCAATATAACTACCATATCATATAGGTTATCCAAAGAGCAATTTTTCAAAAGCACACGCTCTTGATCAAGACATTGTGTTGACTTTGTCAATAGTCCTTTTAGGGGGTAA